TGAACCTCAGACTGAACTATAAGTGTTCAGCGACTTTACTGCTTGGATGCTGGTGGGCCCCGACCAGATTAGAATCATAATTTACTTCCAGTTCTGTCGCAAAATGTCAGCTATTGAGTCACCAAATTGTGTACAGCTTTAGGTTCTAATGTTGCATTATATGACATTGTGAAGGTTTGGTACCAAATGTTCAAAAACAGGGACTATGAGATTCAAGAAGCAGAACGCTCTGGCCGTCCTACTAATTTTGATTAGGGCTGCCTACAAAAACTTGTAGAGGAAGAGTGAGTATGCAACCACTCGAGAGCTTACTAAGGAAGTAGACGTTACTGCCAAATCCATTAGCTGCACTATGTAGTTTATGAATCACATAAACTCGATGTAAGTTCAATTACAAGTGCCGCATGAGCTAACTCAAGCAGATAAGGACAGACCAGGGTTGCCACTCAAACAGGAGAATGAAATTCCCTGACTTTTCCAGGTTTTCCAGAAAATTCCAGTCTATCTGCGTAATGTACGTGGTGTGTAAGAGGTAATAAATATGGTATTACTTGTACTGTGTAGCAAAATTCACTTAATATTCAATAAATCCCAGAGACATATTTTAATTATTCTTGGTACACTTTTTTGATAATTTTGTTTACTTTTCCGCTTAAAAACTTAAAAATTTAAGATATATACAATGGATACAACTGTGTTTTTTTATTATTACTCATGATCACCCCAGTCAACACAAGGCTAACGGTTCTTATAAATCACAACGCAATGCTAAAAGTTAGGTTAGATTTTAGGTAAATTAATTGGTGAGGGTGTATTCTTAAAAGGCACTTAACACTAAAACAAAAATATAATTATAATAGGAGTTGTTTTCTCCACTGAAGATTGAGATTTGAATCTGCCCAATCTGGATAAAATAAGGCTTTTTTGAGACAGTCGCAGAAAAGAAAGAAATCTATTTAATGATATTTTTTACTAATGATATTTTATATTTATTTCGCAGAATACATAGGAAAAAAATAGTGCATTAATTTGTGATGTCATATCTGCTAGAATGATTCAGGATTATGCCAGAGAAAAATTCCGAAATTGGAATATTATTACTAATGATAAATAATTAGAGGGAAGAAGCAACATTACTGAATGAAAACATAAAAATAAAGATAATTATAAAAATTATTACAATAATCAACGATATTTTCGCGAATATAGTTATTACATGGTTATCCTAGATGATGATACTATTTTTTTATTTACTGCAAAATGACAAGATATTTTAAAAAGAAAGAAAAGAGAAAAAAAAAAAAGGATTGCGGTAAAATCCTATATACATCGGCTTCGCATGATTTTGAAAATTTCGCCAGAACAAATGACCGTTCTGTGATCATCTGTCGCAAATCCGCGTACCATACATGGAGATATTCGCCAAAGCTGTCTATGTAAAAAGCGGAGGGAAATTTGCCAAGGATTTGACGACGGAACGGCCAAATTTCCTTCCGTGATGTGTACAGGAAATGAAAACACGTGTTAAAAAAACGTTCTTGACAAAAGAAACCACGAAAATCCGTTTTCAATTATTGCGAAAAATCCAGAAGAAACGTTTTATCAAACGTTTTTTTCTGGATTTTTGCAATATTTTCAAAACGGATTTCTGATCCCCCCTCAAAATAACTATCCATGATTATTAATGTGCCAAAAATATTTTCTTTCCTTTAAAGACATTTTAAAACGATATTATTATGAATCTTGATAAGTGAACTTCGACTCGACCAGTTCGAGCTTGGCAACAGCTATATGCGCATGCCAGATGTTTCCGCTATGATGGAACCGAGCCAGTCTTGCAGAGAGGTTTTCCTTTTTACAACATATTTTTTTAATTCTAAACCTTCATGTACCGTATACTGGATTAAACCCATTTGTTTTTACGAACAGGTACTTTCTTTAGTTCAAACCTGCACTGCGATCTCGAGGTACTGGAACAAAGTTGCTGCGGAAACTTTGCTTTGCCTTTAAAAAAGACAATCAAAGGAGCTGCGAAAATTGGCGAGCCGCTGCCGAATGAAACTTACGTGATACCAATTCGCCAAAAAAGTTATCTCTCCGACGTCGGCGCAAACTTTTTTTTTTGGCGGGTCGTTGTATGAAAATTCTACTTTTCCAGATTTTGACTAAAACACTTAAATTCCCTGACTTTTCCCTGAATTTTTTGGTCAATTTCCGAATTACCTGACTTTTTCCGGTTTTCCAGGTAGCGTGGCAACCCTGACAGACATGTTTGAGCCTGCATTAATTTGCTTGAATATCAATGCAAGGTCAAAATTCTGGACCGGATCATCACTTGTGATGAAAAGTGGATTTACTTCAACAATACAGGCCAAAAAGGGAGGTTGGTCTGCAGCCGGTGAGCCCAGTGGCAGTGTCGTAAATCACAGTTTGACTAACAAAAAGATCATGATTTGTATGTTCCATCAAGATAATGCAAGACCACATGTGTCTGCATTCACCATCAGACCTTCCATACAGACCTGAATGGGATCTTTTGCCACACCCACCATATATATAGCCCCGACATTGCTCTTTTGGACTGCTACCTTTTTTCACACCTGCAGTTACATCGTGTTGGTGCTGTCGTCCATTCTGCACAAGACGTCTGAAATGAGGTTGATTTGTTTTTGGACTCGTGGCCACCAAGTTTCTGGGCTGAAGGCTTTGAAAAACTACCAAAATTTCACAGAAAAATCATAGATTTGGGTGGTGATTACTATCTGCACTAAAGGTACTGCTTTCATGCTTTTTTTTTTTTCCCTAACTTTATTAAGAATATTTTTTTGGCAGAAAACATTCATTACGACCAGATATCTTTTTCGCCCATTAGAAAATGATAAACAAAATCACTGCTTCATATTTTTAGGGATGCTTTAAATTAACATCAAAATGGACTTATGGATAAAAAAAAATCAGTTCTATTTAGAACATTTAGTCCCATTCAATTTCCTATACTGTTATTTTATAGTGTTATGACAAAACCTCCAAAAGTATGAAAATATGGATAAAAGAAACTGCATTGATATCTTCAACCCCCAATTCTTTTCAGAATTTCTGCAAGTTAAAAAAAAAAAATTATTAACCTTTAAAATCATCCATGTTTCAGATGTTAGAATCCTTATTTCATCTGTGAAGGAAAACATCTTAATGTTACATTTCTTTGACCTTGACCTTCACTCTTGTGTATATTGTAAATAAAGGCTATGTGATGTCAAGTTCTAGGAGAAACAGATACAATAAGTTAAAATTTAAAGATGAAAAAGGCACTTGTAAAAAATTGTCAATAGTGTGAGTCTCCTGTGTGCCAATAAGAATGGTACTGAATGTCATTAGCTTAAAATTTCAAAAACCAAGATGCTTAACAAAATCTAAAAGCTTTTCCAGTTTTCTACAAAGCTAACTGTAAGCAGAATGATGTCAGAAATACATCAAAAAGAGTTAAGAAAATTAGCTGAACATCTTTCAGGCAAAAAGCAAAAGATTCTACTTTTGACTGAGAAATAGGCTGCACATACAAATGCTGGAAACTCAGAATGAATTAAGATTGCTTTATTGCCCCCAGATGCGACTTTGATGCTACAGCCGATGGATCAAGGCATAATCAGGAGCTTAAAGTGCCTCACCAAAAGCAGCTCATTTTAAGCATTTTGCAGAAGCATGACAATCAAGTCAGTTATAACATTTTGCTTCTTGATAGAGTGCTATAAAAGTCTTTATGACATGTTACAGAATCAGCCATTCAAAACTGTTTTTGGTATGCTAATATAGCAAAGGGTGTTGTAGAGGAAAACAAAAATGAGGATTTGTCTATTGCTAAGTGGCTACAAAAAATTATGTTTCAGCATTTTCAGAGTGTGATATGGAGTTTTTTTAGTCCTGCAATGATGATGATGATGTTTATAATAATTAATCTTAAAGATCCAAGAAAGGAAGATAATGTGACAGAAATTAAAATGAAAAATTACATCAAAGATTCTTCTGATCCTAATGAAAAATTTGAAGAAATGCAACACATGGTCAGTGAATGCCTTACCACAGCAGATGCCAAGGCTATGATGCAGGTCATTAAAAGGTTTTTATTCATATAAACTTTGATGTGATGGAAGCTTTTCAGTTTTAGAACAAAAGTATGGAAATTATCATTCAGTCTGCATCATGCCAGCACAAAATCACAGTACTCAGAAGTTAAGAAAAAGTTAAATTCATTAATATTCTTTGTTATTTATTTTTAGAGTTTTTACATTTTTATGAATAAAATTATTAATCACAGTTATAAATGTGTAACTCAAGGGAATAATCAGAACCATTATATTTATGGTAAGTAATTTGAGATTCATTATGTTATTTTTATACAGTTTGTGAAATAATCCATTTTTCTTACTATACTCGATATAGCAGACTAATCTTCCAGTCAATTAAAATATGTTACAGCAGGGTTTGTCTGTATACACAAAAACTATACTTATTTATTGCTTATTTTAAGAAACATCATAAGTTAATCACATGTTCAAATGATCATTAGTTAAGGGAATTCATTAAAAATTTCATTTTTCTGTATTCTATTAACCTCAACCTATTTGACAGAAATGCATTTTACAGGCTCTGTTACATAAACTTAATCAGGTATATCCCATCTTTGTTTGTATTTCTACTACTGTCGCTGCATAAGTATTTGTACCTTCTGCATTAGAAATCTTATTAAAAGAAACTAAAATTCTGGGGGGGGGGAAGAAGAACCATAATTTAAAAAAAGCCAAATGTTGCTAAGATGCACATTTACAGATAGTTAAGCTTGGGAGTTATGAACAGAGACTTGTAATTTAATCTAGACACTTTATCTAAACATTTTTCAATTAGTTTGTAATCAGAAAGGATTGTAAAATCTATTTTAGCAAAATATTTATTTCTGAAGTAATATATATATATATATATATAAAGAATATGTAAAAACTTAATACCATATTTAGCAGGAATCATTCGACCAAAAAGGCCCATATCTTTTAAATCTTGAAGGAGACCATATGGCAATGCCTTGTCCCTGTCAATCTGCACAGAATTCACTGAAAATAAGGAAATTATCATTAATGCAAGAAAACTGAAGATATAAACAAAAATAAGATATTTCCCTATAGAGAGAAACAATAAGTGAAATTTTCATCTTATTTTCAGCTTACAAGCAAGGAAACAAAGTAGCAATTACTAACAGAACTTAAGCTCTCCTGGAAATTAAGGAAAAGCTAAATGCAAATAATGTACTTCAACTATGAAACAGAATATATTTGCATAAAGTCTATGGCATAATTTTCTTTAGACAGTCACTAACCCTCTCGCTGCATAACTTTTTAAATCAAAATAGGTTAAAAAATTACGTATTTTTTATTACATATTTCAAATTTACATATATTTTAGAGTTGAAATATATGACAATTTTTTGTAAAACAGTTTTTGTTCAATACATAATTAGATCATAAATAAAGATTGTCGGAAAATTGAAATTGAAGAATAATCATGTAAAAGCAAATTAAAAAAAATAATATTGGTTAAATTGTGATTTATTTTAAGAAATATGAAGGTAAAACATATATATTAATGAAAATATTCAAAATACTTGCAAAACATTTATTAGAAATTAAGTTTGGTATGATAAACTTCGAAACAAGGCTCAAAGCAAAATCTTAGCTTGCAATCTTAGCACCAAATTCGAGTTTCTTTAGGAATTTGTTTTTTTTTTAGCAACACATAGCACACTGTCTATGAAGCTCTTCCTTGATGGTATTTGTGGTATATAGACAGCAAAATATTGAGCAGTTAGTCTCATGGGTTTGAGAGTTGAACTACAGACCTCTTTGAGCTTTGAGAAGAGTGCTAAATGATTATATATTTTGCAGAAATATGGAAAACTGACAAAAAAAAAAAAAAAAAAAAAAAAAAAAAAAAAACCGAAATGAAATTATGAAAAAGAAAGAGCAGGTTGCGCATTTAAATAGATGGAAAAAATGCATCCCAGTGGAAATTGTCAGCTGTGCAAATTTTGCTACACCTATGTTGCCCGTGGAAATTGCAGGATATGCAGCTTACAGAGTTAAACATATTAATCAAAATAAATTCTTAAGTATGACAAGCATTTTCTTATTAGTGCTTTAAACAGTTTCTGTGGTTGATTAATTACGAGAAAGTATTTATGTGTATATAAATTGAATGTCAAAAGAACAATTTTGTGAGGAAAACTGAAAAATATTAAAATTATACATGGGGAGGGATACGAAAAAAACCAATGCAACTAACTCATTTCCAGATTAAAATTCAAGATGAAACTATCAATGTTCCATGATTCAGGTATTTTGTCATTGGTAAGTCATCTTAAATCAAAATTCAATCCCATGAATAATAAGTACTTGCAGAAGATTAGATGAAAGTTTTAAATTCAATAAAATTTCTATATATTTATGTATATAAATTATTCTGATAACTTTATATGAAGTTCTTGATATGCTCTCGGGCATAAGATCTACCAATTTTCTTAATGATTTATTAAGTTAATTATTATTTAGGGAAAGCATTGCTATAACTGACAAACACAAAATTTGATAAATAATTTGTGCTCAATATTTTACAGCTATATATATTCCTCTGTCCTAAATATTCTTGAATAAGTAATCTATAAGAATCATAAGATAATATTAAGATGTTTGATTCTTGTGGAGCGGCCTTTTACAAGTGATATTCAATGTGTGTATGCTTTTTAAGTACTATAGGTGCTTTCTTTCTTATTGTTGAACTAGACATTCAAAATAACTTATCAGCGTAAGTAAATTTTTATGATACCAGTTCAAAACATGACAGAGGAATCTGCAGATATAAAATTAGCTTTTATATGACCATTACTACACAATATTCATATATGCACATTTCAGGTGTGCGATGTGTTCGGTAAACCATCGAAACGCGACTGTGAAATTGAAAATAATGCGATTTTTGTTGTTTGACTTCTGGATTAGTACTTATTCGGCGTGTTATTGTGTCTTAACTACCAATTTATCATGGAGGTAATGATTTTCTTTCATTGTGGCCCCTATAACATAAAAATACCATAGACACATATGAAAATCACTAGGTATTACATCTAGATTATATTATGGGTGATTTAAAAAATCCCACTCAAATGTTTTCAGAAGTTGTGACATGTCTTTGGTACATACTGAACCTTATCAGAACAGATATTCCTCTCCTTTGCTCCAGATGTTTTGCTGAAATCACTGCAAGATTTACAGTACACATTAAAACTGTTGTTCCAGAAGGCATGAACATAACAAGAATTCAGCAACTTTTTCAGAAAATCAAAGCCATGACTTAAGAGGCTAAAGTTAAATTTATGCTGTTTGGAGAATTGTGCATCACCTTGTTGAAATTACTGTTGCTTGGATTCAAGTATATGGCAAAAAATCCAAATTTGATACCCAATCCAGGAATTCATTCCTTCTTCTGCATATCATATCAGGAAGTTCATCATATAATCGATCTTCTTATTTGTTCTCCCATTAACATTTTAAACACCCAGTCTTGCAGCACAATTTTCTGTGCCCTTTTTCCTCAGTCAGAGTTTCATGAATCAAAGTCTTTGAGGGTTGGGGAAAGTCCTTTATTATCTTAAAACAATTCTTAAGAATTTCGTTTTTTGATTTTTTGCAGACATTTTTCAAGAAATTAAACATTGTGCAGCTGCTCCTTTTTCATCTTGAACACAGCATCATTTTGCGACATTCTGTTAATTCAAAATGTTACCATAAACAGGATAAATCTGTCTACGGAATTTTCATTGAGCACTCACTTCTTGCACTCAGAAATCAAGTAATGGTCCACACCTTACATTTGGCAGAATTATGAATTGCCATTGCCAATACATACTTGAGGTATTACTATTGCATAACACTACAGTACAAAATCCGAGATCTGGAAGTCCAATATCCGGAATGATCTAAAATCCAAACCTCAAAGCAACCAATAACTATTTTTAGATCATTTTTTATATGCTTTACGCATGTGCATTTGATTTAATCCCCCATAATAAAATATGTGAAGAGTTTTGATTCTTAATTTCACTTCGGCGCTAAATAAAATAATTTGTAATTGAAGAAACAAATCATTTTAGCATAAATTTGTGTGAGCAGTAATTTGAATCCATAGCTGCATATCTGATTGGTACATCTCAAACCGAAACATAGAAATACCGTTGATTTTACACCTACTAATATTTTATATCCCTGATGCCCAACCTGCCGAATCATTATTTATTATATATTGTTTTCATCACTGCATGTTTATCCAACACATGACAACTTAAATAATGGTTCATGCAGCGATCTCTAAACAATTTTTTTATATTAATAATTGAATAACAAAGAGTACGGCAGCTTTTTCTGTTGGTATTACGCTTGGCGATGATTACAGATTTAAGTTAAACGCGCTAAGAAATATTGACGAAAAATTTCATTCCATATGCTAAAAATAGATTTTAATTATGATACTTATAGGCCAAAAGATTACATTTAGTGTTATTTGAATTAAGCATAACTAATTTATTATTCACATAAACCCAGAACTGGTGCCAGAGCTAGTATGGCTGCAGTGGGCGGCAGAATTTAGGGTATACAAAATTTTTGGAATTTAGAGAACCACAGAGCAATGGAATTAAAGGATGGCAAAATTTTTAGAATTTAGGTAAAGCACTGGGACAAAATTCTAGTAGTATTTAATAAATCTAAATTCTGATGTGTCTAACTTTTAAAAAAGATTAACCCATTAACCGCCAAAACTACAAGGAATGTTTCTTTTCTCATGAAAATAATAACAAATATTAAATTAAGCATTTATAAAACATAAATTACATTGAAAATAAAAAAAAAGCTCTTACCTATGGAAAAAGCGAGTGTTGCGTTCACGCACATTAGCGGAATAAGACTACGGAGTTTAGTGATAGGATTTACTCGGTGAGTTTCTTTTGAGTGGAGCGCATGATTACTTTTTAGCTGTATAAGTTTTATAATCTACAATCATTTTTCTAATTAATTTTATTAAACAATTACATTTTTATTCTTTTCAATAGAAATCATGTCATTGAAAGATTCAAGCATGAAAAGCTGATTACAATCAGGATGTAAGTACATTACTACTTTGCATCTATAGAAAGTCTGGCTATGGTACTCTTTCAACACAGTCTTTGTTACAACGGACTTACGATAAAATGTCTACCATCTCCATAAGGTTTTTGAATGTTGAATTTTCTAGGTTTTCCTGTTGCTGATCTATTCTGGCTAATTCTACTACACTCTCAATAGGAATTTGTAAAAAGAATAATGCATTCTCGCGTCTGAAATCTAAAACAGACTTTATATTTCCAGTAGTAAAATGTGGTGATATTTAGTAAGTTTAGATACGGTCTCACCTCATATAAATTTATCAGTATTGTCAAATGCAAATTCTGCTTCATATTCCTGTATTGCAAACATGATATCAATTCTCGTACAACAGGAACAGAAATGTCCTTATCAAAAGACCAATACATTTTTTTTCTTGAGGTAAAGAATGATATCCCGTGAGCTATATTATTCCAATAAATCTTCTCATATAGGCTTCAGATGCAATAAATTCTGGTTTTTTTTTTTTTTTTTTTTTTTTTTTTCCCCCTGAGCATATATATTTGTCTGTTCAACGAGAAGAGGTAAATGTCTAAACCAAAAGAAAATCGAAAATCTGTGGACTAGTTTCAGTGTTTTGTCATTTATAATTCTCTTGTTCTCTTCTTCTTTCTTTCCTTCTGTGAGACATAACTACAGTTCTTTTTTATCAAGTTCAAGATTTCAGTCTTCTGCTTTTTTAAACTTTTTAGTATACTATAACTGCTTTTAGAAGGCTGAAACTTACTTCTTATGTGAATTTCAACTTCCCCAGCAGTACATTTGGTAAAAATTCATTATCATTATTTGAAAACATTGTCATTCCTTTCTTCTTCACTAGCCTGTGCGATTCTGTATTAAATATCTGGGGGGAAACAACAAAACAATATCAGTTCCATTTTGGTCATTATAACTATCATCATCTGTTCTTTCTTCATCAAAAAATCTTTGAAGGGCTTTTCTAATGTAAGATACTTCGTTCTAGGCATTTTTAAACAACCAGAAGAACGAACCAGAACCATCGAAGGAATGAGTGAAAAAGAAGATTACTACCCGTTTCCTGCTGACCTTGCGTCAACGCAACCCTGTTTTTTTCCCTTTCCCAACACAAATATAAACTTCTGATTGATGTATGTTCTGATAAAAGTGACCTGCTAAAAATAGATCACTCATAAGGATGGCGATTCGTTTCGTTAATATTTTCAGCAAAAATACCCCGGTTCGAAAATTTTGCTTAAAGTATAAGATTAATTATTATAAACAAAATGATTGTTGAAAGCAAATATGTTTTTACAGAAATAATCTTCATAATATTCCCTACACAAAATCATCTGCTGGTATAAATATCTTAGGTAGTTATATTTATATGCTTTAATTGACAGTTGCGTCAACCCAACACGAGCGTAATGGTTAATACACAATTTAGATCTCTAGTATATTTTTTAAAATATATTATGAGTTAATATTTAGTTATTGCATTTAGTGATAATGTTAAATAAATAAAGTACCTTTTTCAGCATATAATGTATTTACATTCTTGACAACATTTTCCACCTCAGCAAGTTGCTCATTATCCAATACCAAAGGGAAATTTAATAAATCCTAAAATACAATATATAATAACAATTAGCAGGTAAAAGGAAGTATGATGTAGGCATTGAAGAATACTTAATTTGTTATGAAAATGATAAAAGCATCACAGGTTAAACCAAAATAAAATTTTCAGTACTTTTTTATTACTGAGCCCCCTCTCAAAAAGTTGCCACTCTCTAATTTTTTTGCCAAGTTAACATGAAAAATATGATTGCAATTTTCAAAATGGTGATATACTAAGAGTTCTATAAAATAGCAATCTATCAATAAAATTAAAAAAAAAAATTCTTAATAAAACAGTTGTCTTTTTTGAGAAATTCTTAGATTTTTTTTTTTTTTTTTTTTTTTTCACTGTTCTCATGTATACAGCGATCTGCTATCATTAAAAAAAAGGAAAAAATTGCACTCATGCATTCTAACACTCTATCTGCAATTTTTCATCTTGTTTTTCTATAAAATTCTATCGCTTAGGAAGTACAATTTCAAAGAGTGCGGATTTTTGAATTTTCTAATGTTGGACAAAATACTTGTTGTTGAAGAGAAAATGGTGCATTTCTGCTTCAACAGCCAGTAAACTCCACAGTCCCATTACAATTCATTAGTAAGAAAAAAATTTTCTCATTGTAAAAACACACATTAATTAAAAAATCTGATGTGTACACCACATGACTTCCTTGTAAATTAAAAATTTTTATACGCATTTTTTCTTGCATTTCATTTAAACTTATTGGATTGAATTAAATCTACTTTCGCCGACAGCGCATAAACCACAATAGAATAAATGCATTCTTTAAAATTCACTCTAGTATTTGTTTACCATAGCGACACTCTGCGCTAGATTCACTTAACAGTATAATAATTATAACAGTTAACATATAATAATTATATAACGGAAACTAAGTTAACTGTTATATAATCCAATAATTATATAACAGTTAACTTATATATTTCGTTCATATTATAACTCATAATGCACAAAATTTATATCATTTAAAGAACAGAATTATCTAATCGTTGCCACATGTTCTATTCAAATACTATAATAAAGCTAGAATGATGTATAAAAGAAATTAAGCAAACAAAACAAAAAAGAAACAGTTTTTTCACAGACGATTGAGTATTTCTCATTCAATTAATTCAGTTCTCACTTCGCGAGAAGGCAAAAATACATAAAAACTCAAAATATCTATATTAAAAATTACGAAGTAAATCTTAAACACTTATTTCCTCGAAAAAAATTCCAGAAAGAATTAAGCATGATTTAATTCGCAATAATAAATGAATGCGTTATCTTTGTTGTTGCGAAGCTAAGTTTCTCTAGATTGGCAACAAATCCACTAGTCTCCTGTTTCAAATGTAAACATCAATGGCCGCCATTAAAAAAAGGCTTAGCGGCAATTAAACAACTTTAAAATTGCTGATAATTCTAAAAATATTGCACACAGATTTACTAAAGGCATAAAATCCTTAACCGGAAGATAAAAAACAACATAATTCAATCATTTTTAAAGCAAAAAATGTACAATTTACAAACATATAAGAGTAAAGAAACTGAGAGATCACTGAGCCGGGTAACAGGGTGGTATATGTGGATATATATATATATAATATATATATATATTATATATGTTGGTGCGGCCGATTGCAACCAAAATACGAGGTGCACATCTACATGTTATAGCAGTCCTATATACAAAATTTCAACGTTCTGAGGCTACTCGTTTTTGAGTTATGCGCGAGATACGTACATACGTTGGTACAGACGCCACGAAAAATTCTCTTCAGAATTAATTTTAAAGCAGTTTTTATTATTTTTTTGAAGGAAAAGAGTATTTTATTCTGTCCTTACGTACAGATATCACGCAAAAACATCGTTAAATTGCATTCGATAGCGGTCAAAATGGATATTTTCGTTGAAATATGCTGCCTGAAACTTTTCGAGATTACAATACTTCCTTTTTACTTCGTACAAGAAAGTAAAAAATGATTATCGAATTTGGAAGGCTGTATGTATGTGCATATATTTGGGTTGGAACTACATTTTGGTGGTGTCATGGTTTGTCACGTAACGTTTTGGTGACAGAAAGCATTGCCTCATGAATACTTTTCAGGGGGTATGGGATAATCAGAAAGAAACAAATATTCTTTAAATTATGTAAATGCTCACTTTCTTGGAGGGGGGGACATGAAGTAAAATCATTTCAAGACTTTATTTCATGAAAAAATATAGTAACTGAAGTCCCACATACCACTCTTACTTATTTAATGATACTAATGACAAAGTATGTGACCGCTGTCGCTTTCTAACGGTTTGTTTCAACAGAACCTGGTTTACATCAATATTTTACAAAGGGTGTACAAAATGCAGTGGTAACACATTTACAGTTTTAAAAACATTTTATAACCATACACACATACACTTAAAACTATCAATGCAATTACTCACCATCACATTCTGCCTAATTAATAGAAGGCATCATACACAACAATCATGTTTACTTCTGTTGTGTCCCACAATATCCACGATAGCAACATTTTCTCTGATGGGTGTCTCATAGTGGTTCTTTCATTCTGAAGAAATCATAGTCACATAGGCATTTTAGTATCTCCCATTACCACCAATTACCTCATGCAGATCTATCAGAGTGCTTGAATTATGACACATGCATTTCCAAAGAGGATAATAGAATTTGTCACCAATAAGTGTCATAATTTTTTATGAGAGTTGGATATAGGTGATGTACAGGAGATAATATTTATAGGCAGTATCTGTCATTAAGGCATAGTGCGGCTTCATGAACATTCTGAACACAATGAACATCAGCTTTTCGCAATGCAGTACAGCAGGCAGGTTCTGTGGATGAAGGAAACCATGATGCTTCCATTCATTTATTGGAAAGTTATTTCATGCGGAGTTCATAACAGCAAATCCACATTTCATCTGCTGTGATGATCTGTCCAATGAAATTATCAGCTGTAATTTGGAATTGTTTGAAAAAGTCTTCTACGAGTGCATAACGGCATCAACAATGTACATCAAACAGTGCATGGGATATCTAACATGCTGCAATTTTGAAGGATGGAAGGACGTTGTGCAGAATGTAGATCACTGTTTTGTGGCATACAGCTATCTCAACAGCCAATTGCCATGTAATCCTATCACCATTTAACAAAGAAGCAAAAAGCTGAATTATGTGGTTATCAATCTAAAGTCACAAGAAATAATACTGATCCTGAATAGCATCCCTTCTTTCACACAACGGCATGCCGTCAATGAACTAGAGGGACTAGTCCCTTAATATTTCATGCACATTGACATTTTCAAGCATACGTTTACTTAATATTCAAAAGCAATAAAAGGAACATCATTTTACCTCTTCTGTAAAGGTACAATATTCAAGTGCAGTCTGATTTTTGCATGAAAACAAGAAGCTTGAATTGCGTTGGCTTTATGCCAGGAAGGACTAGCTTGTTTTCACCTGTTAGCTGCCGCAGACACACTGTTAACTACTGGTAGTGGGCCATAAAAATTTTAATTTCTGCACAATTCATATACGCTAAATTAATTTAATTTTAGTGCTATACTTTAGCTCACCTTCACGAAAGCATTCTTTTTGTATGTGAAATAATTTAAAGTAAAATATACTGATGCAGTAATTCCAAATTTAAACTATGTGGAGAGAAGCAGTATGAAAAGCTGATTCTCATGCAACAAAGCGTCATTACGAAGCATCTGCAAGCAACCTCTACAGCCATTTTATGATAACCCACTCATCAGTTTACCAGTAACAGAATCCTATGTTCTTGATTACTTGTCTACCATACTCTTTGGGACAATATACATATTCAAAAGACTAAACAAAAAAATGGCAAAAAGTAGGTCTATGCTACATGTTCTCATTTACACAAGCATGAAACATTATAGCTATTAATCCAAAGAAGAATACTATATAATTTAAAAATGGTTAATAAAAAACTAATAAAAAATTTTTGTTGTCACAGTGGTGTAGTGGTTATAGCATGATGCTACAACCCCCCAAATTGTGAGCACTGCCGACTTGTTTTTTAATGAAGGAGCCATCATAAGATAGCAGCTCCCACAGCATTTCCAAGGTATGCACTATCACTGCCGGATTCCAGTTATGTGCAGTTTAAACATTCTATGAACTTAAAAAAGTTCTTAGGTCATTGACCCAACCCCCTATAATAGATCGACAATCAAAGGTCTTAATGAAATTACTTAATTAAGCAAAACCTTACCATTCACAAAGATTAGCTTTGTTCACTCTTTCTTCCCTCACAGCTTCTACTGCTTGTTCCCATAGCAACCTTTCATGCAGCACATGCCTTTGTCAACCCCACTTGACTTTCGACTATGGCCTTGTGACACGGGACAACTGCCCCCGTTTATGTGAGCTTGTTTCAGGATGTCACTGTTCATGTCTACAGGTTATCCTTTATCTATTTCTCTGTTAAACCTGTAATGGTACTTCCCACTTTTTAGCCAATGCTTCTCATATTTATTTCAATTTTTCATTTTGATGATGTGGAAGCTATTGTATATTATAAAGGTACTCCATAAATAAAATGCCTTAGTCTTTGGCCCTGGCCTTATGCTCTTTTTTGAGATAACATGTTTTTAATTAATTATTTATGACGTCCATCAAATTAGAAAAATTGCTTATTGATTAGGGAATGATCATTTTGACTTCTCCTCTTCATCTGATTTTTTATAAATTTATCAGAACATATTAAACCATTACTTTACATATTGTCTTAAAATTACATAATCAGTCTGTATTCAAAATATAATAAATACAAACATGACAACTACCCCTCTAAAATGTCTCATGCACCTTCTGAAAGTGACCAGTATTTCTGAGGATATAATTAAACACTAGTACTGAGTTTCACATCTCTATGATGATGATCATTACCCATACATAGTCATCTTAGCCAAGATTATAATTTTTCTTCACACCCGCATCTCTTCGGTAAAAACCATGGCA